CACACACACACACACACACACACACACACACACACACACACACACACACACTGACACATAATATAAACGCAAACACACACATACAAAAACACACCAATTCAACAAATGTTGATATTACGTTGAATACAATTTCACATGACGTTCAGCCTCGAGGCAAAAAAAAGGATTAAAAAAAAAATTACCTTACGTCACAGCCCTGGAGCCAAACAGGAGCCGTCGTTTCACTTAGGGCTCTTTTCATACTTTCTCACGCCACACTGGTCAGCTTCTGTTTCTTTGTCCAGACGGACGATTACACAATGAGCGGTCATATCAAAAGGGGCCCCTGGCAAGTGTCCAAAATGAATCGGTCAACAACTTTTGATGAAAACTACACAAAGGATTGGAAAGCACAGCCACCGTGAAATTTGGAAAGGTTTTGAACATTAACTGAAGTTTCGTCAGATGATCAAGTACGTATAAAGAAAGAGAGAGAAAGAGAGAGAAAAAGAGGCACAGGTTATCCATCATATCTGTAATCATTTTAAGCTGTTTTGATACCATCAGGACCGTTTGATAAATCTTTCTCCTTTTTCTTCATTGTTTTTACTTTGGAAAGCAAGTTGTTCATGCCATCTGGTCTGTTTAATAAACTTTCCCAATTGCTTCATCGTCTATACTTTGGAAAGTAAGTTCATTTAAATCGTAAACTGTGATTTTTTCCGAGTGCTTTCACTTGCGGGATTCAGATTTTGCGTGTTTTCTTGTGACAAGACAATATAAGTTATCCAATTCTAAGAGAGATGCTGGAAGGTGGCCATTTCGCGCCTGTCTGTGACCTGGAAGAACCAACGCATGAGGTCTGGGATGACGATATCTGGGACAGGGATACTTTTCAGTCCGGCGTCAAGATAGACAGAGGTACCTCGAATATGATGGTCCGACTTCCCAACGGCTTTCTGAATCACAAGGAGGCGGTGGCCAAGATCTTTATCTTCGGGCGTAACGAACGTAAGTGACCTCTTCCAGCTTTTTATGCTTTTGTTGTTATAATCTTTCTCATTAACTGTTTCTTTCTTTTTTTTGGTTATCATTTCTGAATGTGTAAGTGTAGTTATGTCCTTAGATTCACGATAGAACGTTCTTTTGTATTATACATTAAAAAAAACGACAACAATAAACAATCCCCCCCCCCAAATGCACAACAAAACAAGAACAATAACAACAAACAAACAAACAACATGTTCATGATAATGATATGCTTACAATAAAGGGACCATCTCTTTGCCTTTTCTCTGTTTATATAATGTCTGCCTCCCGACCCCCCTCTCTCTCTCCTTCTCTCTTTATTTCTCTCTCTCTCTCTGTCTCTCTCTCTGTCTCTCTCTCTCTCTCTCTCGTTCTTTCCCTATCTATGTAAAACATGTCTTTTTTATACGGAAATAATGTACATTATCACGGAGTGTTATATTTGTTTCCTCATCTAAAACCATACTTAAGGGGGATGAGTCCTGACATTTTCAGTTGAAGATGATGGTGATGACGATGATGATGATGATGATGATGATGATGATGATGATGATGATGATGATGATGAAGACTCGAATTGTGGATTGTGAGAGGTATCTCATATTGTCAGCACGCCTCACTGATGACACTGGTCAACACACATTTTGCAGAATGAGGTTTAAAACTTGTTTTCAGCTAATTTGAGGTCGCTTGTTCCAGAAATAACATTTTTTTTTGTATCACATCAAATTTTTGTTGCATAAAAAGTGGTATTTTTATGTCAAAATGACAAAATTCAGGAGTTTTCATGCAGCATGGTCTATAGTTTGATTTAGAACTTTGCTTTGATGAATCAGAACTACATATTGAATCTTTAAATGTGCGACTTTTCTTTTTAAAATACGTACGTGATCACTAAAAGTTGAATTATGCCAATATTTATATACTATAAACATAATAAAACACAACAATGTGCACTTCAAAAATATAGGTCACCCACTATCCATTTTGACCTTCAATCTTTACAAGAGTGTGCCAAACATTCTTGCAAAAGTATTGGTTTGCTATAAAGATCGCCTTTTTGTTTAATAAAAACACCCAAAGCAACAGTATTTGGAGATTTTATAAAAGCAATGTTCCTAAGGATGAAAAATGAAAATCAAAATTATCACACAAATCGACTTCAAATCTCAGTTGTTTTAATCATCCAGAATTGTTGGATGTGATAACTTTTTATGAGAACTCTCACGACTTAAAGAAAAATAAGTGTTTAAAAAATGATACGGTACAGACAGTTTTAACATTGTCGGGAAAGGGAACTACTACAGCACTTTGTTGCAACGTACAGCGACTTTATCTTCTGTCACGACGTACCAGGTTTGTTACGTGCTTTGAGTATCCGAATGAGTGGATGCTTTTCTTAGACAGTCAAAAAAAAACTATTCTGAAGTGTCCCCATAGGATTATGCGATTGTGCGGCCACGGCGCGGCAGGCGTTTTTTCGTGTAATTCTGCAACATTTGTATAATTTTGGATTCCCCGCGTTTTCTCACGTCCCCCCCCCCCTTTTTTTTCACTAATTAATTAACGCCTCGCCATGTGACTAATCACCGTAATAAGTCTCATTTAAGTTATTTCCCTTGTTAGAAGATCTTGGTTATGGGTTGGGATTTGTTCCTTTTAAATTTAGCATGTTCAATTTTTCAATCCATCAAAAGTTGTTGTTCTCATGTCTGCTGATGTTTCATGTTTGACAGGTGTCCCTGGTTTTAGTAATGTGCCAACATCAGAGATCCAGATGTCCTTTTTTTTGGTTGACATTTTTCTTTCTTCTATAGAGATCTAGAAATCTAGATAGATCTACAGCTGAAAGTTACAGAGATTATATATATATATATTTTTTTTCCTGACTGATGTGTATTGTTTTCTTTCCAAATATACAACGAAATACTAATACTGATATGTTCTGTTTTCAATTTTTCGGTACATAAAACATGAAAAACATGAACATTCTTGCTGAAAAACTGCAAAACATGTCGCGAATGGTGTTACGGTAACTTGCATAATTTTTGTTTAATTTATCTTTTTTGTGTGCATAATTTGGCCATCTAAATTTGCATAATTCTACGGGGACAGTATGCCATAACCTAGCATCTGCATTTGTCGCGGGGTATAAAAACGAAAAAAATAATAAAAAAAGAAACCGAATCTCTTTACCTTTAGAAAGAAAGTTTCTTTTCACTTCCGCTTCACTTCTTCTCTTTCTTACTTGTTAACCCCACTTTTATTAGTTATTTTCATGTGAAAAAAAAGTCTTGTACATTACATACTATTTATATTGCTGCTTCTCTTTTATTTTTCTCTCAATGTTGTGTTTTAATTTGCTTTTGTGTTATTTTCTTTTCGTGTTATTGTTCTGATTTGTTTTTTATTTTTAGTGTTTATCGAAATGTCAATATCAATTAATTTGATCATGTTGATCCTACCTTTTAAAAAGTAAAAATAAATAAATGCGTTATGTGAGAGCGTGTCTCCACCAAACCCGAATACATGTACATGATGCACTGACACTGGCAGGCCCCTTGTGTGTGATTCCATAATTTACATGTAATATCCTGTTGTACTTTTTCTTGAATAACACACGTTTAGGGTTAAAACGACCACTCTTTGGATAGTTTTACACACACCTTTATTTGTTATTTTTTGTGATTATTTTTGTTCTGTTCTGATTTTTTATTTCATTCCGTTGTAAAACCTTTATTTTTTCCCCGTTTTTACACTCTGTGTGGCTACAAATTAGCTTCTGGATGCTTGAAAGAGAACACAAGAAATTCTGGTGCTTTAGATTAAGTTACCTCTATCAACATAGTGCCATACGTCGTCACACAAAGTTTAAAGCTTGAAAATTATTGGCAACTTTTATGGCAACTTTTGCCATTTTTGAGGCAACTTTGGGCAACTTTTGGACTATAAAATGGCAACAAAAGCAGATTCTAGTATAACGGAATTTCATTTGGGTTCGTCCCTGTTGGTTATTTGGCTCTGCTTTTAAAAAAAAAGAATACAGGCGCATAGTCAATACAAGGAACAAAGCTAAAACATTTCTTTTGATATGAATCTTGTCAATTTCTTATTAATCAAACAATATTGTGACTATATAAAGTGTCCATTAAATCTTTGCCTGTGGGGTAGTTAAACGAAAAACAATTGCAAGCAA